TAGGTGGAGGAGGGTAATATCAATGATTTATAGGTGGAAGGAGGGTAATATCAATGATTTATAGGTGGAAGGAGGGTAATATCAATGATTTATAGGTGGAAGGAGGGTAATATCAATGATTTATAGGTGGAAGGAGGGTAATATCAATGATTTATAGGTGGAAGGAGGGTAATATCAATGATTTATAGGTGGATGGAGGGTAATATCAATGATTTATAGGTGGAAGGAGGGTAATATCAATGATTTATAGGTGGAAGGAGGGTAATATCAATGATTTATAGGTGGAAGGAGGGTAATATCAATGATTTATAGGTGGATGGAGGGTAATATCAATGATTTATAGGTGGAAGGAGGGTAATATCAATGATTTATAGGTGGAAGGAGGGTAATATCAATGATTTATAGGTGGAAGGAGGGTAATATCAATGATTTATAGGTGGAAGGAGGGTAATATCAATGATTTATAGGTGGATGGAGGGTAATATCAATGATTTATAGGTGGAAGGAGGGTAATATCAATGATTTATAGGTGGAAGGAGGGTAATATCAATGATTTATAGGTGGAAGGAGGGTAATATCAATGATTTATAGGTGGATGGAGGGTAATATCAATGATTTATAGGTGGAAGGAGGGTAATATCAATGATTTATAGGTGGAAGGAGGGTAATATCAATGATTTATAGGTGGAAGGAGGGTAATATCAATGATTTATAGGTGGAAGGAGGGTAATTCAATCCATCAAGGATTCTGAAAGAGTTAGGGTTAGTGTAAGGTAGGAAAGAGCCACGACTAACTTTGATAGATGGGAACGTATTCCTGTATAATTCTCAAAGGTGATTTTTTAACAATTTGTATAATAAAAACAATTAAAGGAAATAGATTTTACCAGACTTCTGGATTTGATTGATATGGAGACGATATTATTGACAGAATTTTCAAATGGGCATGACAATGACGTCATAGCAGGGCGTTATCAATTGTCATACTGAATAATGACTTCTAAAATACTTCTAAGGAGACTAGTATAATTTATAAAACTATACATCAAAGATTGTTAGGGTAGGGGCTGGGAAGGTCGTCTAACTTTCTAGCAAGACTGACTTACACGATCGTCATATAAACACTTGTATGTTTAAGATGTAGACCGAAACATATGCCTCTATTCCAGCCTCTCATAGATATTTTGAGTCTTCGGCTGGTGTGGAGATAGAAAAACTATGCCCTGTTTTATTCAATTTTTCCGCACCTCCGTAGGTGCGGGTTTTTAAATCTTTTTAAATCGGATCTGCCAAACCCAAGATATATTGGGAAAGATGCATATTTTTGTTGTTCAGTCATACTATCATTTTCTCCCTACACCACTTATGTCACTTTTGAAGTTCCGTCAAAGTTTTGTGTAACGAAACTAACCTCACGCCAACCATTTAAATTTCGTGCACAGCCAAAGGTTCAAAGGTCATAGAGTCACGTGATCCTAACAAAGCGAAATAATCTTATTTACAGTCATCGTAAAGGTAATTCAATATTTTGTTAGCTAAAACGCATCTTCAGAGTTGTGGAAAATCCCATGAAACAGGGCATAGTCTATCGTCTCTACTCCCGCTGATAACTGTCAAAATATATATCAGAAGCTGGAATAGAGGCTATTTAACAAAGTATCATTAAAGAACCAGCCTAGCTACAAAGTAAAGATTTATGGTAAAACAAAGTGCAAGTTCATGTCTTCTAGACAATTAAAATTAAATATATTTTTTTCTTTTCATGACAACTAAATTTCAACTAAGATTCATGAAGATACTGTCTTCCAGCTGGCCATATTGCCAAACCTCTTGACACCAATTATCTGTATCCATTTACAGAAGGGCCAACTTGGATAATTTAGAAAAATGACTTATTCACGGCGATCGAGATTAAAACCCACGACCATCATTTTGTTGGCTCACTTTGCTACTAAGCTTTCTGTGGTAATTTTCAAGAGAGTAAACAGAGAGCGCAAAGTTTAAAATATAAAAAATATTCTTCTGTTTCCTCAGAAAAGATGACTCTTTTGACCCCCCTCTTTCAAATTTGTTAACATTTTAAAAAGTGAAAGAATAGTCTGTGCCCCCTTCCCCATGTTGTGGCCCTTGCTCGGCCCTCCCACCTGGTGTTTCCTAGAAAGGATGGTGGCCCTGTGTGCGTATATGAAATACATACATATACCGAGTATATAAAAATATATAAATCGATGTTGCGTTCTGTTGTAGGTCGAGGTTTTGACTCGTTTATCTTCAGTCCTAAGAACGTAACAAGAAAATATGCAAATATAGACAATACCTGTGATTCTGAAATCAGCCGAGAAAGAAAATTTATTTATCGAAAGGGTAAGTCCAGACTCTCTGGATTTCTAAGATGTTGTATTATGGTATCATTATGAACATTATGTAAGACTAAAACTTGGTAAAATAGTCCTAGGATAGGTTTTACAAACTTTTTGTAAACATACTTCATTTCTAGGAGATTTCAAAGTGTTATTTTATATGCTTTGGCCACAAACTATGTGTCAAAATGCACCAAATCAATTCTGTTTTTCAAAATGTTTCTTGGGCAGAACTTTCTCAGATCGTCCACATGAGACTTGCAACTCTGGCGCTTCACATCTTGATCTACGTTCCCCCATTAAGTTAGTCTTCCCCATTCCCCAAATTTGCGAGAGTTCACATAGCTAATACATGTAATTAATAATCGAGTCAACTCGATGTTTCAGATATTGTAAAGAAAGTGTTGATGATATCTGTAATAATATTGATGTTTCTATTCAAGGTGGATGTCGAGTACCTAGAGATATGGTAGGAACCTGGGGTTTTACTTTCCGTCAATCATCAGCTATAACTATGGGTAAAAGGAATTTAACGATTCATTTCTTAAATAATGATAATTTAACATTGAACTGTGAGGCAAGAGATAGAAACATGTTTTTATTCAGGTAGGTTAGCATTTCAGAATATTCTGTCTTGTACTCTAAACGCTTGTACTGGTTCCAGTGGGTGCACCTGGAAGACTGACTAAATGAAGGAGGGGTCTACTGTCAGTCTTGGGATTCCATATGCAATTTACATTTTTCTCTGGAAGGGGAAGGGGGGTGGGGACTGTTGCCGCCACTAGTTGCTCAGTCACTGTTCGGAACGTATAGATGTAATTGTGTATGTATTCAGAATAGAAAGGGCCATTACTCTTGTGACTAGCTCCACTAATTCCAATAGCATCTTCTGTAATTTTACGAATGTTAAATTTGATTCAAAATTCAAGATGGCTGTCTGTTCAGACGTTTTGTTCCATTAAACGCAAATATTTGTTCTCAGTCTCTATTGAGAAAAACTACATACAAAGGGGCGCTACTCTAATAATATTCAGACTGTTTCCGGCTTACTTGAATTGGCATCATTAAAATCGTTTTACTTGTCAAGATTGCCAAGATTTCTTTCGTTTATAGAAAACGTAACTTGTACGTAGTTTGTAGGAGTCTCCGACGCTGTGAGTGTTACATTCAGCAAACTACGGAGTTTATAAAACCCTGAGTGACAACGAAATATTGTTTCAATTATTTAGAGAAAGGAGATGAAAGCCGACATCGGGCTTTTGTAGGGAAGCGTTTTGTATGAATTTTACGGAGACTTCGAACTCACGGCCTTTAATCCGAGTGACTAGCGACTGAGCTATTTCACTGGTACTCTTTAGATTTTTAAATTGATATATTGGAAAATTAAAATAAAACGATTTATTATCCGATATATTTTCAGACGATCCAGTTACATAAATTCCTCGACGGATGCCATCATTTGTGTGCAGATTGATCCAGTTCTAGATGACCCGTTTTATGATTATGAATTTAATCGAATTATAAGTAAGTTATATTTTAGAAACCTTCTGAAGCTTCTGGTATTTTGATATACATCGAGCACTTATAGTTTTTCAACAATACCTGCATCATCTGATGATAAAATATTTCTATTTCCAATTTTACTAAAAGGATTTCATTTCTAATCCAATTCACCTTTACTTCCAATTAATAGTGAAAAGGTTTTTAGGTCTCGAGGACTGAAGCCCCACTCGTTTCTCGGACGTGATACGGATAGGATATCGGCATCGTGTGTGATATAACTTATTTCGCACTTGGTTTTAGTGGAATTGTAGGAACCACAGACGTTTGATTCAAATTTGGAATTATGCAAATGGATGCTTTCAGCGTCCCTGATACCCATAAAAAATCAGAAACGTATTTACAATCCCTTTGAAAATGAAACCTCTGGTGAACTTTATTTCAACTTTTAAGATCAAGAAGTTTGAAAATTCCCTAAATTCATCAATTTTGACATTGTTAGTTTCGCAACAGACCATCATATTGAGTTGTTACTTGAGCTGATCCTTTCACTGTATTGTTTCTTTCCTAAAATTCACTGAATTATCTCCCCTTATTTTCAGCTGGTAATGCAGTAGAAAATCTTGTGAGGACCGTACCACGTGGTAAAAAACTTTATATCAATTCCGATTGTGATATGATACATAGTCCCGCTCGTCCAGAATATATATATACTGTTGATAATATACTTTAAAAGAAGCCGCGATCAATCAGACACTGTAATTTTCGGCAGTGATTGGTTAACTGGAGGTGTATATTTCGCACACGCCTCTACATTTTGCTACACAGATTGTCTTACATTTTACTAATCAGCTCGCAGCCGACCGTCGAAATCCATGTGTGTTCAGAATTTGAAAACTGAAATGACGAATCGTCTTTTTACCAGATTCCAAATATATAGAAAAGACATATCCACAATCCACAATCCACAATGTATAGAAATATAAAGTGAAATTTCTAGTTTGAGGAATACTTGAAGGGATAATGCGACTTTTATACAGTTCGAGTACTATTTGAAGAGTTGAAGACCTTTTACATGTATTCAAAACTAAAATCAACCCCCAAAAATGACCTTTAAGTATGACGTAACCGAACTTACAGAAGAATAATCTGGGGTTTGACTTAGATAGGCTACTGTTCTCGATCTTGGAACAATACATGTGAAAACGCAGAGTCAAACACATCTTCACAGTGTCACGCTATTACCAACTTCATCTTATACCTTGACTACATTAGCCACTTTTTTGTGTCACGGAAGTTTACAAATGCAGTGATTAAATTGGATTGTGCCCTTGTGAGTACAGCTAATCAGATAAATAAATGAAAAAAATTAAATAAATTAAATAAATTAAATAAATAAATGAATTATATAAAATTGAATAAATAAATTAAATGAATTAAATAAATTAAATAAATTGAATAAATTAAATAAATAAATTAAATTAAATAAATCAAATAAATTAAATAAGTTAAATAAATTAAATAAATCAAATAAATTAAATAAATTAAATAAATTAAATAAATAAAATAAATTAAATAAATCAAATAAATTAAATAAATTGAATAAATTAAATAAATAAATAAATGAAATAAATAAAATAAATAAAATAAATTAAATAAATCAAATAAATTAAATAAATCAAATAAATTAAATAAATACATAAATCAAATAAATTAAATAAATCAAATAAATTAAATAAATCAAATAAATTAAATAAATCAAATAAATTAAATAAATACATTAATGAAATAAATTGAATCGAATAAATTAAATAAATTAAATAAATTAATGAATTATATAAATTGAATAAATAAATTAAATAAATTAAATAAATTAAATAAATAAATGAATTATATAAAATTGAATAAATAAATCAAATAAATTGAATAAATTAAATAAATTAAATGAATTAAATAAATTAAATGAATTAAATAAATTAAATAAATTAATGAATTATATAAAATTGAATAAATAAATCAAATAAATTGAATAAATTAAATAAATTAAATGAATTAAATAAATTAAATAAATTAATGAATTATATAAATTGAATAAATAAATCAAATAAATTGAATAAATTAAATAAATAAATTAAAATAAAATATAATAAAATAAAATAAAATATAATAAAATGTCCTGTATTAATATCTCTATGTATATATTGTATTGAAGGTTTTATTGTAATATGATTCTTTCGCTTCAGGTCCAAACTTTCAATTTTATTTTATATTATTATAGGGTCAGATAATCCACAATTCACAGTCAATTCTAGACCACAAATAAACAATGTATGTAACTGTAACTTATTAAAATTGAAAGTGACAGAGGGGGAGAAAACTTTTGTGCTACTTTTGTCTTTTTGTCCCACTAAGTTTCCTCTGGAATGGAAGATGGAGACAGTGATTGAAGCCATCATGTTGAAGTAAGCACACCCTGTTTGACGTCATTGCTTTTTAACATATATAACAGATACGACAAATAGTAAGGTACAAACAAAGATAAATATAGTGACTTATATAGTTTAATAGTTCAAGGGAGGTAACTGATGAAAATATTTTTATAGAGAAATCTTCTGCTGAGATCATTACCTTATGATAGTGATAACAATAACCAATTTTAGTCAAAGACCCTGGTTTGTAGATCAATAAAATAAACTATTTGGGATTACAATTATTATATCTAGGCTCTAAAGTTGTAGGCCTACGTAGCCAATTCTACTTGATTCGATAGTAAATTCGTAGTATCTTTTAGTTCAAAGGAATAGCTGTTAAAAATATGTTAATTTACCAGTATTTTGGTATTTTTACGAGTCATTTCGTTTTTTTTTTTATTAGTTTTTATTTCTAGTATGGACCAAATTTAAATGGGTCAATTCGGATCATCCATTTTTCTATTTTCTATTTTCACTTTCAGTGGACTTGATAAACTCGTCTATTATTGCTCCTGAAAATACATCTTTTGAGCGCGTCACAAAACGTTAACACTGGAGAATACGTAAATGTGATTGGTTAAAGTAGGTTGGGTCAAAAGGTTAATTTGACGGATGTTCAAGATTTCAGTCATTATACCCTACTGTGATATGGCTATACTCAAAATAAAAACTAATAAACTGTTAAAACATTGGATACCACTCACATCTAAAACTGTTAAAACATTGGATACCTCTCACATCTAAAACTGATATAACATTGGATACCCCTCGAAGATCGAAGAATATTTAGTATGAGTTATTGCCCTTGTTCTTGAAAACGCGTTCGATTTTAGCTCGTAAACACTCTCAAAGGCACAATTCTTGACGAATTTTGATGAAACTTGGTGTGAATGTTCGTTATCACGCAATGATGAAACCAACCGAAAATCAGAAGAATTGAAACATATTTAGCTTGTAAACACTCTAGAAGGCACAATTCTTGAAGGATCTTGACGAAACTTGGCAGAGTGCTTGTTATCAATCAAGGATAAACCCAATTAAAAATCAGAAAAATTGATAGCCCCGGTTCTTGAGAACCTGTTCAATTTTTAGCTCAAAAACACTAAAAGGCATGATTCTTGCCGGATTTTGACAAAACTTGGTTTTATTATTCAGTACCGCGCTGAAGGTTGAATATTTGTCTTCTAGAGTTTTCATGAGTTAAAAATTGAACACTTTTTCAAGAACAAGGGCAATAACTTTTGAAGTTCATACCTATTATCTCACACTAGTCCCCATTGGAAATATAGAATAACCAAGTTGCTGACTCTCTTACTTTTTGTACGGAGGCCCATTCACATACACTAATCGGCATAATTATATTGTATATAATTCAGAGTTTACGGGCAATTTGCGAGGCTTAGTCGTCATAGAAACTTTTGAAATACATACCACACAACTCTATTAAATCCCAAAGTTGCGGCCTCCCCTACTTTTTGTACTTTTGATTCCCAGGGCAGCTATAAATACTTATTGTAGAGACCTGAAATATACATAAGAAAGCCTCAATTAAAATGGTTAAAATAGGGAGTATTTGGATTGTAAAATAATTTAAGTACTTCATTATCTCTTCAAAATGGCTTTTTGTGTTTATCATTTCCAACAGAAGTGAAAAAATTTTGTACCATATGTGCATTAGTATCAATGCATGGCTGTGTGACCGGTCTATTCGCTTTAGGCACAACAATGTCGATATCCAAATATATGACCAGAAAATTCTAAATTTTAACAAAACATGTACCAAGCTATTTTGTAGTTTCCATTCATGAGAGACCTTTTTATGCAATCAAAACAATAAACGAAATTTTGATAACTTTAGCTTCTGATTCCCAATTTGAATCTTTCCGTGGATCCGAATGTTCGACAACGCCACATATATATGTTGCCAAAAATTCATAAGAATCCAGAAACTGGTGTTAATTTCAGATCGTGCGAGCGAAACCTTGTGAGTTTCTGACTATATTGATCACTTTTTACTTCTATTAGCGTGCTAACATCCTTCCTACCTACCATCCTTCCCCAACATGCTGTTAATTACATTGGATGTGACTTCAATGTACAATATACACTAATATTGACAATGATGCCGGTTTAGACGCTGTCCAAAAAACCTTTGAACGAAATCCATGCGAGGAAAGGTAGGTTGGTAGGATTTGTACCAAACAAACCTATTCTGATTCCGTATGAGAAAATTCAAATTTATTCAATAAAGATTTTATAATTTCTGACATCTGTCATTGGGCGTATGTTACCTTGCCTGACAAGCTATCTTCATGTGAATTTTCTGAGAGAGAAGTGTATCTTTCAAATGTAAAATTACTGAAAATTATATTTTTGTGCTCCAGAAGATATTCTAAGACAAAGGGCATACAGTTTCAAAATTTATTTTGAATCTTAATGAATTGAGATACAAAAATTCAATTCAAAACTCAATGTAGTCAGATAGTAGTTTGTGAATATTATTCAATCCGTAATTAAGTGTTAAAAATCAGAAACCTGTCTATAAATCTTAAGTTAATCCGTAAAATAGCTCACTTCCTGTTCATCTATTTTGTTTTAAAAGAAAGCAAGTTGCAATGGAGAATACTTTTAGAAAAAAGAAAATTCACAAGTGTGATGTTTGTGAGAAATGTTTCAGAGCGCCATCAATTCTTAATGCTCACACGAGAGTTCATACTGGAGAGAAACCCTACCAATGTGATGTTTGTAAAAAGTTTTTTTCGGTACAAAGTTCATTAACTGCTCACATGAGAGTTCATACTGGAGAGAAACCCTACCAATGTGATGTTTGTAAAAAGTTTTTTTCTCGGTCAGATAGCCTTATTGGGCACAGGAGAATGCACACTGGAGAGAAACCTTATAAATGTGATGTTTGTAAAAAAGGTTTTAAAACAACAAGTTCACTCTCTGTTCACATGAAAATTCATACTGGAGAAAAACCTTATGAATGTGATGTTTGTAAAAAGTGTTTTGCTTCAGCAGAAAGGCGAAATATTCATATGAGAATACATACTGGAGAAAAACCCTATCAATGTGATGTTTGTAAAAAGTGTTTTTCCATACAAAGTTCAGTAACTACTCACATGAGAATTCATACTGGAGAGAAACCCTACCAATGTGATGTTTGTAAAAAGTGTTTTTCCGAACACAGTACATTAACTGCTCACATGAGAGTTCATACTGGAGAGAAACCCTATCAATGTGAAGTCTGTAAAAAGGTTTTTTCTCGGTCAGAAAGTCTTATTGAGCACAGGAGAATACACACTGGAGAGAAACCCTATAAATGTGATGTTTGTAAAAGAGATTTTAAAACAAGAAGGTATCTTTCTGTTCACATGAGAAGACATACTGGAGAGAAACCTTATGAATGTGATGTTTGTAAAAAGTCTTTTACTGAAGCAAGTGGGAGAAATCTTCATATGAGAGTTCATACTGGAGAGAAACCTTATAAATGTGATGTTTGTAAAAAGTTTTTTTCTTGGTCAAAAAATCTTACTGTTCACATGAGAACTCATACTGGAGAGAGACCTTGTAAATGTGATGTTTGTAAAAAGGGTTTTGCGTCAACAGGTTCGCTTGCTGTTCACATGAGAACTCATACCGGAGAGAGACCTTATAAATGTGATGTTTGTAAAAAGGGTTTTAGGACAACAAGTTCACTTAAGCGTCACATGAGAATTCATACTAAAGAAATGTGACGTTCGTGAGAAATTTTTCGTAAACTGTCAAGGTTTAAAAAGTCTTGCTAAAACACATGATTAAAATTAAAATATCGAGTTGGGTTGCAAGAAGAATTTTATTGACCAGTTCCGTTTTTTATCAGCTACTTCAGTTAGGCTCTAAAGAAGAGAGAGCCTCTTGAACATTCATCTGTTGACATTTATGATTGGTTAAAACTCTTAATTACATGGAATAAGAACATAATGATACTTCATTAGTAACACCAATTGATCAAAATAGTTGCTTATTTAGACACAATAAGGAAACCTATCTTTAATATAGTCATTATTGCAGTGCTTTCTATCGAACACACTGCTTTGTTTTGCAAATGTTTTTTTGCAGGGCGTTCGTAAGCAAACGCCCTGCTTTGTTTTCGTATTTTTTTCGTCTACGGCAGGCCGGTTTTCTCGGCAACGGCAATAGATACGGTAAAACTCGTGGCTAATCACAGTTTAAATGTAAAACGAAAATTTTCTGAGCAACATTGCAACAAACGGAAAATGGACTCTAGAGGGCGTATTTATCAACCGATTTTGATCAGGTTTTTTCTGCATCATATTTCTTGTAACAAAGGACAAATGATAGCAGTTGAAGATTTTTGAAAATTCTTATTTTGACGAAATTAATCAAAAAATACTATTTCGGTTGTTATCGGACAGATTGATTTGAAACTTACGTGGTGTAAACCGCCAGCATAGAGACATAAAAGTACACATTTAAATTTTTTTTATCTCTTCTGGTTTCGATGTTAGTACTTCCGGTGGTATCACTTCCGGTGAAATTGAGTTATGTCAAAAATAACATATACATTATATTACCAGTCTTAATACAAACTTATTAAACTAAAATAATTCGTACCGGAAGTAACATGTTGGCCGCCATTTTGGTTTGCCTCATTTTTCAGAAATTGCTATTCAGAGGCCATTTTTCATCCGATTTTCGTAACTTTTGTATCAAACTATACGTTTAATGCCTGTCTACAATCCTTAGGCAGTATAATTTTGATTTTCCGTTTTGCCTTTTTTGTACGACCGGATGTTTTTTTTCAAAGTTTGAACTCGTATATCTCATGACCTTGACCTTTGATGACCTTCATATTCACTATGATGATAATATGTGACCTTGTCTATCTGATGACCTTTTGACCTTTGGGGTCAGACAACTCTTTTACAGGGGTCTAAAATGAATCATTTTGAGTCTTTGCAGTGCTATATCTCGGTCCGGCTGACCGGCTGCATAACATATTTGAAATTAATCGAATCTGGCTATTTTAATTTTAATGCTTGAGAAATTCATAAATTTATCATCTTTTAAAATATAAAATTTAAACAAACAAAATTACTGTCGTAACAAAGCAAGTAACCAAGTTGATTGAGTCTGGTAAATCGAATATGCTAAAAATTAGTTATCTCCCATATAAGTTGCACGTTCGTTTACTCACCCAAGCTTACTTGCGCCTGACCCGAGCCCGTTCTTTTACCGATTCAAATAATGTTTTTTGTTTGAGAACTCAATGTATTACGGATGTTGCATTGAAAAACAACAAAAATTTCATTTAGTGGATAGTGTGTACCCGATACAGCCATTACGGCTGAGACTACTTTGCGATATATCAACCTTTTTCAAAAGATTGTAAATAATTAAAAAAAAAAAAAAGAAGCGCTTTTATTTTGACACAAAATAATGGGCATTACCAACTTTCTTATTTCTTATCCGAATTTCACCAAACTTGGTATGTACGTGTATAATCCAATTCTAAATTTGATGGAAATACTGAATTTTTGTTGTGCGCATGCGCATTACCAACTTTCTTATTTCTTATCCGAATTCGACCAAACTTGGTATGTATGTGTATAATCCAATTCTAAATTTGATGGAAATACTGAATTTTTGTTGTGCGCATGCGCATTACCTACTTTCTTATTTCTTGTCCGAATTTCACCAAATTTGGTATGTAGGTGTATAATCCAATTCTAAATTTGATGGAAATACTGAATTTTTGTTGTGCGCATGCGCATTACCTACTTTCTTATTTCTTGTCCGAATTTCACCAAATTTGGTATGTAGGTGTATAATCCAATTCTAAATTTGATGGAAATACTGAATTTTTGTTGCGCATTACCAAATTCTTTATTTCTTATCCAGGTTTCATCAAACTTGGTCTTTATTAATTGACAAACATTCTTTTATTCCTAGTCAATATACTTTAAACTCCAGGCACTTTTGTATATTTGCATTTAGAGATGCAGAAAAATATTAACATCAATGTAATTGCAATAGACTATCTTCGTATGTACCTGAATGTCGTAACCCGCCCTGCATCAGTACTGTTATTAGAACAGTTCTAGTTTTTTTTGCAGTGAGAATGCACTGCTTTGTTTTGCAAATGTTTTTTTTTTTTTTTTTTTTTTTGAATTTTGCTGCCATTGCCCAGCCTAAACTACGCATGCCACATTCTCACCCTTTCCATTTCCTTGTCAAACCTGTGAAACTAAATAATATGAATATGATTTGAAACACATTTTTTCAACCGGAAATGACGTAGGACGAAAATGTATTTTTTTCTAATTAACGGCTCTAATTTTGACCTGATTTGATCAGACTTTTTAAGTTAACTGCTTTGAAAATGAGTTCTACAGGTTAGCAATTCAAGAATTTCAGAATTTTGACTTTTGTCGCTGACTTTTTGATTTTCAATATTTGAGTATTTTTTTAACTTTTACAATTTAATTTCAATCAATCTGAAAATTTGCAGGTAGATAGTCATTTTGATTGCGAAGTAAAATCAATTTTCATATTTTCAATATCACTTCCGGTTTTAACGTCATTCGCTTTTAAACTGAAAATTTCAATTCTTTTTGCAATAAGCTAGATTGTTAATTTTAAAGAGCTGTGTCACGTGACCTAATTTACATATAACAAAACTTCTCATATATCTTTTTTTACGGGCTATCTCTTCTTTCCAATGGTATATAGCACTAGATATTTTGATCAAAATTGCGCTTTTTAAAATTTGAAAATTTTGAACTAACTTCTTCAGTAACAGCTACTTCCGGTTTTGTAGGCTTCCAAAAACAGTTATTTTCAAAACTTTTAAGACTCATATCTCGTAACCTTGACCTTTGGTGACTAGTGGTCTGACGAAAAGCCATAGCCCTTGATGAAATCTATCACTTGGTGCCTTTGATATTGTTGTACGATGTCTACATCCTTTTTTATAGCCATTTGAATATTGCGAATGTGACTATAACACAAGCCGAGTGCCAGGAATATTCTTTAATGTTTGGAACATGGATTCCAATAATTCTAAATATGGAAGAGCCTAATCCATTCCACACAAAAAAAATCAATTCTAAAAATATACTTTTTAATTTTTAGAAAAAATAATAAAAAATGTATTAGAATTGTATCGTTGACCAGTGAAAGGGTTTAAAAGAAAGATAAGGGGTATATAACGTTGTAATACAAAGGTGTCAATGGCGAAGGGAATGCTATGAAGTAGCTTGAGTTGTATACTAACTATTCTCTTAGTTGTGTCAATTCCTAGAATGCACTGCTTCAGTGACGTAACCTATTGGTTCTAGTTATTATTATTGCTGTTCACTTACAATTTTTGTAAATCTGTTCTTGGAATCCACAAAAGCATTTCCACAACAGGTGCTCTGGGAAAAGTGGACGTTTTTGTCCTGTTGTATGTGTTTTATTTAAAAGGAAAATTGTAAGTAGTCCTCGTCGTCCATTATGTAATTTTTTGTCTGAAGATATTTTTCACTTTGTATTAAATTCTCCTCGCTATAGTGATATAAGAAACGATCTGTTTGTTTCCACCTCACCTCAATTTAGACAATTGTGTTCAACTGAATATGTTGATGTTATTTGGGCAATTTCTAGATATTTAGATCAGACAACATCAATCCAAATAAGTTTTTATTTATAGTACTATACGAACGTCTCTCAGTTTTTAACAAGTAGATAGAAACATGTTGTTACTCGCTCTTCATTATTTATTCATGAACAAGTATTAATGTGCTCTAATGAAATTGTACATTATATATGTAAACATGATTGTATTATGTTTGTATCTCTGGGCGCTGGGGGGTTATTCACTAAAGCCATGCTAATTTTATTCTTTAATCAACTGTTCACATTTTTAAATAAAAAACTTTATTGCATAAGAGGATGAATTTCACCATGGAAGCAGAAGAAGATGACTCTATACCCTTTCTGGATGTGAGAATTAAGCGTTTAGGAGGTCAGTTGAAGACATGCGTGTATAGGAAACCTTCGCATACAGATCAATATGTGAACTACCATTCCAACACCCCTCAACATGTCAAAAGGGCAGCCATCACAGCGCTGGTCAGAAGAGCAAAAAGGATTTGTGACCCAGAATACTTTCAACAAGAAGTACAACACATCAAGAAAGTATTCTGCTTGCACAACAACTACCCTCCAGCCTTTGTACATCAAGCTTTTCGATCCGTATTAATGGCAAAACCAACCAACCAACATCCTAATCCCAACAGACCATCAACAGACTTAGCTATCCCATTCATCGGAAAAGCATCATACCAAATCAAGAAGATCCTGAAAAAGTCAGTCGGCATTGAAACAGTGTTCTCTGGCAACTCAACGCTTAAAGATTTGCTCAGAGCCAGTGGTAAATTGAATCCCTCCAACAACCAAAAACCTAAGGGAAGTTGAGTGCTCCTGTGGAAGTTCTTATATAGGGGAAACAAAGAGACCCCTTGATGTTCGACTCAAAGACCATCAAGACAAGCCCGGCAATGAAGGAACATCTGCTGTGGCTGAACATCTTGCTATGGGAAGGAAAACAGGACATAAAGTCAACTTTGACAACACCAACATACTGACAATCAATAAGCACATAGATAAAACCAGGAGACTTCATGAAGCTATCCACTTCAGAAGATATCAGCCTGACCTTAACAGAGATGAAGGTGTTCGTTTATCGCATGCATATGATAAACTTATCAACTTGTAATTATTCATATTTATAAATGTATTTAATTAACAATTTCCAACTTTAAGCATAGTTAGTTATATGAACAATGTAATTTGTATTAATAAAAGACTCCAATACCAGCAATAGTTGTTTATTTAATCTTCAATTAATCTTTCTTAATTCATTTACTTTACTTCAATTATTTTACTTAATCAGCCTGTATGTTATTTTAAGAATTATATACCTCTTATTGTACCTGTTAAAATTTAATGTAATGTATCAATAAACCATTTATCTCTTGTGTGTTCTTAATAATAAGCATTAATGTATATGTAGTTTGCCCATCACTTCTTCTCATTATGTGCCTGAGGACGACGGGGGAAACACGTCGAAACGTTGCATAAAACTTTAACCAGTGATTGTTGTTCCATAAAGCTGTGTCTATATAAAAACTTTTGTTTATCCTCGGTTTTTAAACAATTTATAAAGAATGTCAATGGGTAGCTTATTCCAATACTTGACCACCTGATCTTGACCAGTCCATCTTCCCAATGTCAAGCTATTACTACAAGTGTCTCATACCTTGACTACAATAACCATCATTCTTGTATCACAGATCTGAAGTTACTATCTTTATCTATGTCAGGATTAAACTCCAGACCTTCAGCCCCTCTGACCTGCATCACTGACCGGGGAAGATCCGAAGTTGCTATCTTTATCTATGCCAGGATTAAACTCCAGACCTTCAGCCCCTCTGACTTGTATCACTGACCGGGGAAGATCCTAAGTTGCTATCTTTATCTATGACAGGATTAAGCCCCCGACCTTCAGACCCTATGACCTGCATCATA